TTTTTTTTTTTTTTTTTTGGAATTTTTTGGACGAATCCTATCCGTGAATTGGAAATCTCGAATCTATTTTGATAAAGTATTAAATATTTGTCGTTTAATCGACGAAAGTTTTGAAAGTTTGTTAAATTTTGTTTATGCGATTGTGAAATTAACATCGCATTCAAAATTTGAAATTATTGATAATTGAAAAATATTTGAATATTATAGGATGAGAAATATATAATATTAGAAATTGGAATATTTCTAATAATGCTTCTTTTTTAGAATACGTCGAGAAAGTTCGGTAACGGTTCGAAGGAGAACAAAATAAAAACTCGTGGAAAACTTTAAAGAAAGACATGAAAATGTCCGGTATTAGAAAACTTTTCGAGCTTCGAAATCGATTTAGAATTTAGAAACATTGTTGCCATCGTGTTTACCATTATTATTTCCATCTTCCAAGATAGTTGCATTACAATTTTTCAAAAATATCAAAGTTTTTCTTCAACAAACAAATGATATACAAAAATTACAACTCTCGAACAAAATTTTGTACCAAATTTAAACCAATTTAAACTTAAACGCTTATACAATTTCTTTCTTTTTCCTTTTTTACTCCAATATACAATCAAATATATCGCTCGATCGGCCAAAAAGAAAAGAGAGAGAAAACAATCCCAATATTCATCCACGGTCCACGATCTCGGATTCGAGGGCAAGTTTTCATTACACGCTCAGCTTAAACCACGGATTGAACGCGTCTTCCTCCTTTCGCGAAACGATTTATTTCAACGATCCCTCTCCTCCCTTCCCTCCTATTCCACCCTCGATCACCAAAGAGTGTATCAGAGTGTGTCAAACTAAACTGCAATTACTCCCTTTAACACCCGTCCCTCGACAAATCGTCTCCATCTTTCTAATTCCACGGTCGCCAACGTTCCATCCCTTTCGTCTCACGGGATTTCAACGGCAAGTTTAGCGCCAGAGCAAACAGGACATTGTGCTTAGACGACGATCATGCTAAAGAGGGAGCTGTTACTCAATCGAACGACACGAATGATCGAGTCTCTCTCCCTCTCTCTCTTCTTCGTTCAGCATCTAGGCGAGAGGAGAGGGAAGATGGAGAGGGTTGATCTTTAAGGGTTGAAGTGTCTCTCGATGGAGCAGTTCGTCATAGCTCGTCGACGGGGACGTTACGTAAAGCCGATAAGCGAACCGTCTCGAAACCTGGACGCCTTCTCCCCCGAGGGATCCCGATCATCCGGATCGTTGATGGGAACGAGTGGAGGGGAGGTGGTGCGGAAGGAAGGCGAAAGTGGAGAAGTGGCGATGCTTGTAAGGCATTAACGGATTGAACAGCGGGTGGCAAACTCGAGTGAAATTGAAAGAAAATAAGACGATGGGATCGATTTCGTTTCGTGAACACATTTTGTGAACACCGTTTCCGGATTTTCTCTACATTTTTGTCTTAAGAAGAAATGAGCGAATCGCAAATTTCTTTTTAATTGATATTTGAAATTTGAAATTTCGAGAAAGGTTACACGATTACTGTATGTTATCGTAGGGACATGAAAGGGATATAGGATTGAAAGAAAGATAAGACGATAATATTGCATAATTGCAAATTTTTTTTAAATTGGTAATTTCAAATTTCAAAGATCGCAAGATCACACAATAATGCGAATATAGAAAGAAAATAAAATGATAATATTATATTGTTTGTCACTTCTATATAAACACTTTTTTAAATTTACCTTAAAAATATGAATTGTAAATTTCTTTTAAATTGATAATTTCAAATTTCAAAGATCGTAAGAAAGATCACGCGATAATGTAAAAGGGATATATAGAATTGAAAGAAAATAAAAAGATAATATCGCATAATTGCAAATTTCTTTTAAATTGGTAATTTTAAATTTCAAAGATCAGGCGATAATGCGAAAGGAATATATAGAATTGAAAGAAAATAAAAAGATAATATTGCATTGTTTGTCGTTTCTATATAAACACTTTTTTAAATTTACTTTAAAAATATGAATTGCAAATTTCTTTTAAATTGGTAATTTCAAATTTCAAAGATCAGGCGATAATGCGAAAAGAATATATAGAATTGAAAGAAAATAAAAAGAAAATATTGCATTGTTTGTCGCTTCTATATAAACACTTTTTTAAATTTACCTTAAAAATATGAATTGCAAATTTCTTTTAAATTGATAATTTCAAATTTCAAAAATTACAAGAAAAATCACGCGATAATGCAAAGGGAATATTTAGAATTGAAAGAAAGACNNATTGCATAATTGCAAATTTCTTTTAAATTAATAATTTCAAATTTCAAAGATCGCAAGAAAGATAACATGATAATGCAAAAGGGATATATAGAATTAAAAGAAAATAAAAAGATAATATTGCATAATTGCAAATTTCTTTTAAATTAATAATTTCAAATTTCAAAGATCGCAAGAAAGATAACATGATAATGCAAAAGGGATATATAGAATTAAAAGAAAATAAAAAGATAATATTGCATAATTGCAAATTTCTTTTAAATTAATAATTTCAAATTTCAAAGATCGCAAGAAAGATCACACAATAACGCGAAAGGGATCTTTTCAATTTGATAATTTCAATTTTCGAAGCTTTCACGATCGAGAGAAAGATTGCATATTCAATATAAAATTCAAAATTATTTCAAAGAAAATCTTATTATTTTAAAGGAAGAAACGAAACGTAGAAGAAGTAGAATTCGTAGCCTGGAGGTTCAACCATCATCGTCATTCGTCTATTTCTTATTCCCAAAGGGAGGAGGGGATCTCGCCCCCCTTCTCTCGTGTCCCCTTTCCATTTAACCCGTGACAAGTTAACCCGCTGCGAACAAATGATCGATGACACCGCGACATCG